GTGTGTTACAAGGTCTGCACAGCAATATTTGGTGTTGGATGAAGAGGGGGATGGAGATTGAGTAGACACGCATACATTTTCAAATGCTATTTATTTAGGCAGCAGAAAGTCTGTTTTCCCCATTACGCTACATTGACTGTGTTACAAGAACTGAAAACAGACATAACCCAGAGCTATTTCACTATCGACTCATCCGGTCTTATTCTCATCGATTGCTGTTTACATTTGGATGATGTAGGTCTTAAGAGACAGCCTTGAACTCGGGGATAATGAACAAGTCAATTTAATAATAGTATCAAGACTATGTTTTTCCACATTGTCTTATATATGTTTACTTTGCTTGGAATTTGTATGTGGGGAACATTGCTCACCTAAGGGAGAGAGAATGAACGGCGCGTTTGAGGTATAGCGAGGACTGACCGTGATGTGTATGTTTGTTTGTTTGTTTTACCACAGTGAATATGAAGCTACATTATGTTATGTCTACCAGTTGTTGAATAAACGTTACGTTACGTTATGTGATACAAGAACTAAACAAGCTTGTGGTAATATTTTATTGTGTTTGGATGTAATGGCTAAACATGGTTTACATTTCAATATTCAGACATCGGACAGAAAGTTGCTCGTTACTCTTAAAATGATATTTGGGCAAAGAACGAAGTTACCATGTTGGTCACGTTACATTAATGATATTTGGGCAAAGAACGATGTCATCATGTTGGTCGTGTTACCTTACAAGGTTATAAGGGTGAGAGTGATGGGGGCTCGAAAATTGACATTAGTCGTCCATCCTCTGGTGCGCTGTCAGTCTAAGTGAAATGAAAAAAGATACGTGAACAGCGGCGGCAGGAGAAAGGAATTGATGTTACTTTTCCCCCAACTATTAAATGATCTGGAGAGAGAGAGAGAGAGAAAGAAAGAAAGAAAGAGAGAGAGAGAGAGAGAGAGAGAGAGAGAGAGAGAGAGATAGAGAGAGATATATAGAGAGAGATATACAGAGAGAGAGAGAGATATAGAGAGACAGATAAGAGATAGATATAGAGAGAGAGAGATAGAAAGAGAGAGAGAGAGAGAGAGAGAGAGAGAGAGAGAGAGAGAGAGAGAGAGAGAGAGAGAGAGAGAGAGAGAGAGAGAGAGAGAGAGAGAGAGAGAGAGAGAGAGATATAGAGAGATATATATAGAGAGAGAGATATAGAGAGAGAGATATAGAGAGAGATATATAGAGAGAGATATATATACCACTGACTGACTGCTATGTGTATCCCATGCAGTTGTGTTTACAAAAAATTATGATTTGTTATAATAATAAGATTGAAGACCACCATATGACTCTCGATATTCTTAAAAAAATGCTATTTGAGCAAAGAATGATGATACCATGTTGGTCACGTTGCGATACAAGGTTACACATATGATCAGAAATAATACTAAAGGCTTTGCACAGAACATCCGGTCTGGGAAGGGTGAAGTGATGCTTGATGGTTTGGGCTTGGAAGGGGGGTGGGAGGGGGGTAGGGGTTTGGTGGGGGTGGATGGGGAGAGGGTAAGGTCATCCCAGTACCTCGTCCATCTCACTACGCCTCAAACCACCACGAAGGTTAGACCCTAACGAGACGGATTGATGTTTCACTCATTCAGGAGTCTTGAACATTCTGTGACATTGTCTTGCTATGATAACGCCGTTGTGTGTTACAAGGTCTGCACAGCAGTAATGGCTGTAGGAAGAAGAGGTGATGGAGATTGAGTAAACATGCATACATTTCAATGATCACAGTTAACAAGAACAATTTGTAGGTAGAGATCGCGTCTCCGTGACGATGTGTTGACTTATATTGAATTTTGTAACTAACTCGTCATGATTGTAACTTGCTTAGCTAAAAATGAATTGTGGGGTTCAGTCCTGGACTTTTTTATGCGTCTTTGCAAGCCTTTACTGCCCATATGACGGCTTGTGTGATTGGATTGTTTAGCATCACGTAGGTAGTTCTAGACACACTATGTAACCCGCATATAATGTAGAGAGAGAGAGAGAAGATGTATAAATAATCAGATAGCTTGTTAATCAATGTGTGACAAACTCCCAGGACTGCATTTTGGAATTTGTATGTTGCGCTCATGGCTCACCTTTGAGAAAGAACATTGTCACACTCAATGCTATGTGCCGGTGTGAGCTGTGTCAGGAGAGAGTATGGTATGCCATATTGCTGTCACTCCCAGCAGTGTGGTGGTGGTGTTGGTATGTGGTATGTCCTGCTAGGTGGATGGAGGGGGAGGGGGAGGGGTGGGCATGACTGACTATGGTATAGGTTGATGATGACATTTGCAACAGTTAGGCCTCAGCCTTTGAAGAGGTAACCCTATGTGGTCATGTGGTGTCACTCCTCATAGCTATGTGGTAGGTATGACCCACATATCCTTAGCGCTCTGGAAGCAGGGAGGGTACATAAAACTGTCATTCTTTAAGAAAAAATAATGACTACTTTCACACACAAACCCACTGCCAGCTGTTACCTCCCTTTCCCCTCCTTCTCCCCCTCCAATCTTAAGACCCTGGACTCTCACGCTCCCCTCAACACTTCCTGCCCATGTAGGGGGAGAACTAATGGACGTCATTGATATCCTCTCAGGTATGGGGGCTCCCCCCTCCCTTCACAACATAACCTACATACTCCTCCTCCTCCCTACATGACATTCTCAAGTCTATGTGGCGGTATGTGGTGAGAACCTCATTTCTATGTGGACGTGTGATGCTGCTGAGTATGTACAGCTCTGGAAGCTACCCGGTGTTTTGTATCCCGCCCGCGCATTTTGCATCCCGTCCGCGCATTTTGGGATCACGTCCGCCCCTTTTGCATCCCGTCCGCGCGTTTTGGGATCACGTCCGCACGTTTTGGGATCCCGTCCGCGCATTTTGGGATCACGTCCGCGCGTTTTGGGATCACGTCCGCCCATTTTGGGATCACGTCCGCCCATTCTGCATCCCGTCCATTTTCCCCTCACTCTATGACTGCATACCAACCACTTAGCTTCCAGCCCCTACCCAACATGACACTCTCTCAAGTGACGCCTGGCCGGATGCCACGCGTCATAACATCCGGGGAAACCTTTGAGATGATGTACACATGCCCACATACTTATCCTCCCCTCTTACCTACATGACCCACAACATCCCTTACATTTTACCCCTGTGACCCACAACGTCCCCCTGACGCAACCCGTCCCATTCTACGGACTCCCACACCACTTTTGACTATGGCCGAGTTCAATCCCGGAGGTTCTCCTCGGGTTTGGGACGGTTCTAGTCCTCAACTTCACACTACTCGATCGTTCATCAAGTCCAACTCCAACCCACGCTTAAGGCTCCAGTTCGTGTAAAAATATATTGTTCTGACAGGTATACATATATATGCTCAGCAGGTTAAGGGAGGTGTAGGGCCGGTTATGAGTATACTCTCCACAAACAAACGTGTGAGCTTTATGCCTCCAGTCTACTGATTGACTCATAAATATGAGTAATCACCCAATGACCACTTGTATTTAATAATAAGTTTTCGGACAGGTGTTGTGTGTTTGCTGTGGCCCAGAGTGTGAGGCCAGCCTGGCGTATATGTAAGGTGGAGGCGTCTACCCCGGGCCCTCGTGCCCTCACAGCTCAGCAGTCTTGCCTTAAATTGTTTAATAATTTCAAGTGATAAGGCATAATTAGTAATTTATAATATCAATTAGTTTATTCAGCGAGAAACATAAACAAGTTCAGTAAACATCAATACTCTGGTCCTTCAAGTAATTTAAGAATGCATTTTGGTTAATTTAATTGACTGAATATTTAAGTTCTAATTAAATCTTGCTGTCAGGTGAGAACTAATTATAAATGAAATATTACAACAATATGAACCTCATACTGTGGATTTATGTAAATATTTTAAACAAACAAACCTACGAAACAGTCTATTGAAGGTAAGATAAGGGAAGGTAAGAATGATTTTATTCACCTAACCCCACAATGAGGATGGTGAGAGTGATGAAGAAGGTAGAGGATGGTGCAGAGTAATGAGGACCTACCTGGTGCTCCCGCCAGCGTAAACATCTTCCCCTTGCCCCCGATCTGCTGTCAGCTCCAATCAGGAACACAACACCATGCAGTTAGTATACCCGACAGTTGAGGATAGTGACGGTGATGGTGACGGTGGTGGTGTTCACAGCAGCAACACCTGGCTGCCGAGCACACTTGCAACAGTTAGTTGCTGGAGTTGTGTATAGAGGAACATGAGAATATAGTCAACTATGGCTAACCTCACTCTAACTATTGATTCTCAAGACAGGGATACCTTGTGGATACCTTGTATAGTTTCCGGGGATCAACAACCATGCGGCCCGGTCTCCGACCAGGCTTCCCGGTTTGTCGACTGGTCAACCAGGCTGTTGGATGCGGCTAATCGCTGCCTGATATATGAATCACAGCCTGGTTGATCAGGTATCCTTTGGAGTTGTTCGTGGAGTTCTCTCTTGAACACTTGTGAGGCCGGGCCAGTTATGCCCCCTAAGTGTAGCATTATTGTTGAAGAGTCTCGGCCCTCTAATGTAGATAAAGTTCTCACTCAACGTACCTATTGCACCACTGCTTTTCAACGAGGGTATTCTGCACGTTCTGCCATGCCTTCTGGTCTCCGGTCCCTCTAATATCTTCCACGTGTATATTATCATGTATCTCTCTTGCTTGTTGCCCTCTAGAGAATACAGATTAACAAATTTTAATCGGTCCCAATAATTAAGATGACTTATAGAGTGGATTCAAGCGGCAAAAGGATCTTTGCACGCTCGAGGTCAACAATTTTTCCAACTCTGAATTGGGCTGTTAGAGGCCAACAATATTAAACCCTAGAGAGCAATAATGCCCATTGATCCATTAGGTTGATTGGGAGGTTGGTGAGGCACTAGGCATGAGAGCCATGGGTTAGGCACTGGGCATAAGGGCGATGGGTAAGGTGCTGGGCATAAGTTCAGTGGGTAAGGTGCTGGGCATGAGGGCCATGGGTGAGGCACTGGGCATAGGGGCCATGGGTGAGGCACTGGACATGAGGGCAATTGGTTAGGCACTGGGCATGAGGGCCATGGGTGAGGCACTGGGCATAAGGGCCATGGGTGAGGCACTGGGCATAAGGGCCATGGGTGAGGCACTGGGCATGAGGGCCATGGGTAAGGTGCTGGGCATAAGGGCGGTGGGGGCATAAGGTGCTGGGCATAAGGGCCATGGGTAAGGCACTGGGCATAAGGGCGGTGGGGTAAGGGCTGGCATAAGTGGGCCATGGGTGAGGCACTGGGCATGAGGGCCATGGGTGAGGCACTGGGGCGGTAAGGTGCTGGGCATAGGTGCTGGGCACTGAGGGCCATGAGGCACTGGGCATAAGGGCGGTGGGTAAGGTGCTGGGCATAAGGGCGGTGGGTAAGGCACTGGGCATGAGGGCCATGGGTGAGGCACTGGGCATAAGGGCGGTGGGTAAGGTGCTGGGCATAAGGGCGGTGGGTAAGGTGCTGGGCATGAGGGCCATGGGTGAGGCACTGGGCATAAGGGCGGTGGGTAAGGTGCTGGGCATAAGGGCGGTGGGTAAGGTGCTGGGCATGAGGGCCATGGGTGAGGCACTGAGCATAAGGACGGTGGGTAAGGTGCTGAGCATGGGCATAAGTTCAGTGGGTAAGGTTCTGGGCATAAGGGCGGTGGGTAAGGTGCTGGGCATAAGGGCGGTGGGTAAGGTGCTGGGCATGAGGCCGGTCGGTGAGGCACGGGGCATGAGGGTCATGGGTGAGGCGCTTGGCATGAGGCACGGTGGGTGAGGCGCTTGGCATGATGGCCGTGGCTGAGGTTCTGGGCGTGAGGGCCGTAGGTGAGGCGCTTGGCATGAGGGTGGTGAGTTGGTGAGGTGTTGGGCATGAAGGTGGTGGGTTGGGGAGGCGCTGGTCATATGGGCCGTGGGTGAGGTGGTAAGCACGAGTGCAGTGGGTGAGGCGCTGGTCATATGGGCCGTGGGTGAGGCGCTGGGCATAGGACAGTGGGCCGTGGGTGAGGCGCTGGGCATGAGGACGTGGGTGAGGTGTTGGCCATGAGAACGGTGGGTGAGGCGCTGGCATGAGGACGGTGGGTGAGGTGAGGCGCTGGGCATAAGGGCCGTGGGTGAGGCGCTGGGCATGAGGACGGTGGGTGAGGCGCTGGGCATGAGGACGGTGGGTGAGGCGCTGGGCATGAGGATGGTGGGTGAGGTGCTGGCCATGAGGACGGTGGGTGAGGCGCTGGGCATGAGGACAGTGGGTGAGGCGCTGGGCATGAGGACAGTGGGTGAGGCGCTGGGCATGAGGACAGTGGGTGAGGTGCTGGGAATGATGAGTGGGTGAGGTACTGGGCATGAGGACAGTGGGTGAGGTGCTGGGCATGAGGATGTTGGGTGAGGTGCTGGGCATGAGGACAGTGGGTGAGGCGCTGGGCATGAAGACGGTGGGTGAGGTGCTGGGCATGAGGACGGTGGGTGAGGTGCTGGGCATGAGGACGGTGGGTGAGGTGCTGGGCATGAGGACAGTGGGTGAGGCGCTGGGCATGAGGACAGTGGGTGAGGCGCTGGGCATGAGGACAGTGGGTGAGGCGCTGGGCATGAGGACAGTGGGTGAGGCGCTGGGCATGAGGAGGCGCTGGGCATGAGGACAGTGGGTGAGGTGCTGGGCATGAGGATGATGGGTGAGGTGCTGGGCATGAGGACAGTTGGTGTGGCGCTGGGCATGAGGACGGTGGGTGAGGTGCTGGGCATGAGGATGATGGGTGAGGTGCTGGGCATGAGGACAGTTTTTGAGGCGCTGGGCATGAGGACAGTGGGTGAGGCGCTGGACATAAGGACAGTGGGTGAGGCGCTGGGCATGAGGACGGTGGGTGAGGCGCTGGGCATGAGGACAGTTTTTGAGGCGCTGGGCATGAGGACAGTGGGTGAGGCGCTGGGCATGAGGACAGTGGGTGAGGTGCTGGGCATGAGGACAGTGGGTGAGGCGCTGGGCATGAGGACAGTGGGTGAGGTGCTGGGCATGAGGATGGTGGGTGAGGTGCTGGCCATGAGGACGGTGGGAGAGGTGCTGGGCATGAGGACAGTGGGTGAGGCGGTGGGCATGAGGACAGTGGGTGAGGCGCTGGGCATGAGGACGGTGGGTGAGGCGCTGGGCATGAGGACAGTGGATGAGGCGCTGGGCATGAGGACAGTGGGTGAGGTGCTGGGCATGAGGATGATGGGTGAGGTGCTGGGCATGAGGACAGTGGGTGAGGCGCTGGGCATGAGGACGGTGGGTGAGGTGCTGGGCATGAGGACAGTGGGTGAGGCGCTGGGCATGAGAACGGAGGGTAAGGCGTATTAAGGAAAATGGTGACTAGAACCAGGCGCGGGGTCTGCGCAACATTGCATGCATCTGGTACCATCAAGTGAACATGTTGCATATGTGGCGCACAGCTCTAGCCACCACCCTATGTAAATTAATGAATTTTGCATGATAATAAAGATGCAAATGAAGATGGGTTGTAAAGGGGTAATGTTGCAAATCATTGAAAACTAAGTTTTAGAAAAAAAACATATTTTTTTAATAAAAAAAACAAAACAAAATATCAAAATTATGGTTTAGCATTATGTGTGTCGGGTAGGCTGTTACATTTTCAATGTTTGAAAGTTAACATAAAATATTTCATCCTATTTTCCTATTTTAAGACGTGGAATAGCCACCCGTGTGACGGCACTTTTAATGATCTGCTGTGGTGTATCGGCTAGCATACCAGCTTGCTACTTGGCTAGCCCAGGTTCAGTTCTTTCATGGGGGAAGAGTTCTGTGTGTGTTGATTGAATGATTGAAAAAGAGTAAGTAACCCAAGAGGTCGCACGGGAATGAATAGCCCGTATGTGGTACATTTTTTGTTCAGTAAATATTTTCCGTGTTCTGAGGTCGCATTTAATCATCAGGCTACTATGTTATCTCACATGTTGTGTGTTTATGTTAAATATCCTTGTGAGTGTATGCAATTCTGTGAATATATATGGGCTCGAGTTTTCCCCTAGTAAATATAATTAAAAGTGGGAGGACATGTGTCTGATCTGTCACCATCAACTTGCTTCGTTTGGGGCTTGGAAGACGTGGAACGCCGGTCAGCGCCTGTCAGACGCCCGTCTGAAACGCCTTTAAACGATATGCTGTTGTTTATCGGTTAGCATCCCAGCTTGCTATTTAGCTAACCTAGGTTCAGTTCTTTCATAGGGGAAGTGTTCTATGTGTTAAATAACACTTTTGAGTGTATGCAAGTGAGTGATTTTATATGGGTTTGAGTTTTCCCCTAGTAAATATGATTAAATTGGGAGAACATGTGTCTGATCTGTCACCATCAGTTGGCGTCGTTGGGGGGCGTGGAAGACTTGGAATAGCAGCTAATGTAACACCTCTTTTAACTATATGCTGTTGTGTATCATTTAGCATACCGGCTTGCTACTTGGCTAGTCTAGGCTCAGTTCTTTCATAGTGTTATATATATATTCGGTGTTATATATACTCTGTTATATATATATATATATATATATATATTCTGTTATATATATATATATATATATATATATATATATATATATATATATATATATATATATATATATATATATATATATATATATATATATATATATATATATATATATATATATATATATATATATATATATATATATAATGCAAACAAGCCTGAATGGTCCCCAGGCATACATGCAACTGAAAACTCACACCCCAGAAGTGACTCGAACCCATACTGCCAGGAGCACATTGCAACTGGTGTACAGGACACCTAATCCACTCGACCATCACGACCGGACAAAAGCTGATGGTAGCCGAGGCTATTTGCCCATCAGCCCGCCGGCACTCTGATGGTAGTCTTGGGCATAGCATTTTATCAAATCACCTCATTCTTTGGGGCACACGTGAGGAACACAAATGCGAACAAGCCTGAATGGTCCCCAGGCATACATGCAACTGAAAACTCACACCCCAGAAGTGACTCGAACCCATACTGCCAGGAGCACATTGCAACTGGTGTACAAGGCACATAATCCACCCGACCATCACGACCGGACAAAAGCTGATGACAGCCGAGGGTATTTGCCCATCAGCCCGCTGGCACTCTGAGGGTAGTCTTGGGCATAGTATTTTATTAAATCACCTCATTTTTTGGGGCACACGGGAGAAAGACAAATGCGAACAAGTCTGAATAGTCCCTGGGCATACATGCAACTGAAAACTCACACCCCAGAAGAGACTCGAACCCATACTGACAGGAGCACATTGCAACTGGTGTACAGGGCACCTAATCCACTCGACCATCACGACCGGACAAAAGCTGATGGTAGCCGAGGCTATTTGCCCATCAGCCCGCCGGCACTCTGATGGTAGTCTTGGGCATAGTATTTTATCAAATCACCTCATTCTTTGGGGCACACGTGAGGAACACAAATGCGAACAAGCCTGAATGGTCCCCAGGCATACATGCAACTGAAAACTCACACCCCAGAAGTGACTCGAACCCATACTGACAGGAGCACATTGCAACTGGTGTACAGGGCACCTAATCCACTCGACCATCACGACCGGACAAAAGCTGATGATAGCCGAGTCTATTTGCCCATCAGCCCGCCGGCACTCTGATGGTAGTCTTGGGCATAGCATTTTATCAAATCACCTCATTCTTTGGGGCACACGTGAGGAACACAAATGCGAACAAGCCTGAATGGTCCCCAGGCATACATGCAACTGAAAACTCACACCCCAGAAGTGACTCGAACCCATACTGCCAGGAGCACATTGCAACTGGTGTACAGGGCACCTAATCCACTCGACCATCACGACCGGACAAAAGCTGATGGTAGCCGAGGCTATTTGCCCATCAGCCCGCCGGCACTCTGATGGTAGTCTTGGGCATAGTATTTTATCAAATCACCTCATTCTTTGGGGCACACGTGAGGAACACAAATGCGAACAAGCCTGAATGGTCCCCAGGCATACATGCAACTGAAAACTCACACCCCAGAAGTGACTCGAACCCATACTGCCAGGAGCACATTGCAACTGGTGTACAGGGCACCTAATCCACTCGACCATCACGACCGGACAAAAGCTGATGGTAGCCGAGGCTATTTGCCCATCAGCCCGCCGGCACTCTGATGGTAGTCTTGGGCATAGTATTTTATCAAATCACCTCATTCTTTGGGGCACACGTGAGGAACACAAATGCGAACAAGCCTGAATGGTCCCCAGGCATACATGCAACTGAAAACTCACACCCCAGAAGTGACTCGAACCCATACTGACAGGAGCACATTGCAACTGGTGTACAGGGCACCTAATCCACTCGACCATCACGACCGGACAAAAGCTGATGGTAGCCGAGGCTATTTGCCCATCAGCCCGCCGGCACTCTGATAGTAGTCTTGGGCATAGTATTTTATCAAATCACCTCATTCTTTGGGGCACACATGAGGAACACAAATGCGAACAAGCCTGAATGGTCCCCAGGCATACATGCAACTGAAAACTCACACCCCAGAAGTGACTCGAACCCATACTGACAGGAGCACATTGCAACTGGTGTACAGGGCACCTAATCCACTCGACCATCACGACCGGACAAAAGCTGATGATAGCCGAGGCTATTTGCCCATCAGCCCGCCGGCACTCTGATGGTAGTCTTGGGCATAGTATTTTATCAAATCACCTCATTCTTTGGGGCACACGTGAGGAACACAAA